TCGCGCTCCTCCCGCTCCCCTGGGCCCCGACCCGCACCACAGCGAGCCTCCCCTTTAGGGAAGGGCAGACACCCCCTTTTCCTGCCTTTCCCCCTTCCCCTGGCAAAGCAGCCCCCGCTAAACACCATCCCACAGCAGTCAGGGGCACTTGCCTCCTCCTTCCCTGCTTCGCACCCCCCCACCGCTGCAGAAAGCACCCTCTTTTCCTCCCCCTGCCTCCATGCCACCCTGGTATTGCTGCACGGCAGGGGAAACAGACTTTAACCTCTCCCCCGCACCGCGCACCCACGCGCACTCAGGATCGCTTCTGCACAGACTTTTCCTGTTGTCCTCGCTTCAGTGCTTGGTGGTGGTTTTGAAGCCGGTGCAAGCGCTTTCCTAAGGAAGCTAGCAGACTTTGCAAAAGTCATCCCTCCCACTCCTCTCAAAAGAATATATATCTATATATTGTTCTTACCCTTTCATGCCTGTGTGTGACACCTACTTCAGTAGCAAATGTGGGGCTGTGACCTGCCGCAATTATTTCCTTGCCTCTCTTTACCAGCTCTGTTTTTATTTTGCAAGGCCCTGTGTATGGGGTGGAGGAGGTGCGGGGAGTGCGGATGGACTTGCCTATCTCAGATCACCACATCTGGTATTCTGCCTACAGCAGCTGCCAGTACATGATGCTTCAGGCTAAAGCAAGGCCCTTCATCCTAACACACACCTTGATTGTTCGGCTCTGTATGCAGGGATTGGGAGTAAACTGCTGCAGTAGGGGATTGTACCCGGAGAGGCTGTGGAGTCTCCATCCCTGGAGGTCTTTAAGACCCAGCTACACAAAGCCTTGGCTGGGGTGATCTAATTGGGGATGGTCCTGCTCTGAGCAGGGGGTTGGACTTAAATTAACAAGGATTAAACGCCGTGGCGTGTACAAGCACCAGATGCGACCTGAAGTCCCTTCCAGCCACCACTTTCCATGTTTCTATGAACTCCTCCTTGACCTAGATGGTGATTGTCTTGATCCTTGAAGCGCAGCCTTCGCTCATCCCTTCGCAAGCATGAGACTGAAAGGGCACAGAACGGGCAGGTATAAGTCTGTGGTTTCACAGCTCAACTCTTGATTGTGGTTTTCCACTATGGCATGCACATTTAGGACATTTAGGACTGCAGCTTTTTACAGCTATGTCATTAACTTGTGGACTTCACTGCCCCAGGAGGTTTCCCAAGGCAAATAACCACTTTAAGATGAGGCCTGACGGAATAACACCGTCAGGCTACCTAGAATAAAACATTTCAACCCTCGTGTGTCAGGGGCTGCTCACCAGCAGGGGTCAGGAAGAAATTTCTCGTCGCGCACAGATACAACCTGGTAGTAGCTGACAAGTGGCAGAGGAAGGAGGATCCGAAATACATCTGGGGGGGGGGCATTTCTGACTTTCCTAGCAGCCCGTCCTGGATTCCTTCCGATTCCCAAGTTAGCCGGGGTCTCCCTGACTATCCTCCCCCCACTCCTGCTGGTTCCTGAGCAAGGCTAATGTTGTGTTTGGAGGTGACCTGGAAAGCAAACAGCTGCTCTTCCAACCAAGATTACGTCAAGCGCCCCAGCAAGCTAAAAAGGGATTCACTCTTATTCCAAGGTACTGCCAGTACTGCAGGAGGAAGAGTGGCAATGCACCCAGCCAATGAAACACAAGAAAGAAGCATTACATCATTGGGATGGGCTGCCATTGGCCCATTAGCAATCTATGTGTATTGCTATCTTCCTGCACTGTTTTTGTTTTATGTTGAATGCATTGAGTGCTCTATTTTTCTCCAACAAAGAGCAAACACAGCCCTTTGGCCTGGTTTCCTCTTGCCCTTGCAACCCTCAGAGTCATTTCTCCTTGCCAAGGTCAGTGCAAAACAGAAAGAAATCAGACCAGCAGGACTGTCCGCTCATTTTGGGCGGGGGTAAGTTGATTGCAGAAGGGGCAGAGCTGATGGGGAAACTGGGGGGGCTAGAAGCCAAAGCTCCAGGAGGGAACAGGATGCGTGCTTCTCGGCTCTAAGAGGCTGCACCATCCGTGAGAACAACATGAACACCGT